ATAGTTTCGAACAGCCAGTCAGCCCTAATCTGCATAGGTCTGGGAGGTGGATGACATGAACTTGACCATGCTCTTTAGACCAAATTAGGAACTCATCTTATTTTCTCATTTTTATTTCATTTGGGTAGTACTCTACCTGTACCCACGTTTAAACCTCAAGTGTTTCTCAGCTGTCTTTTCCTCTCTCTGGCTGTTTGGGGGGTCTGTGAAAGCTTCCTATCCAAGTGAAGAAGAATCTGAGTCCCATATGTGGTATCGCTGTGTGTAAGTATCATGTGGTACAATAGTAATTCATTTAGCGCTGGCTTGCTGTAGTACTTTGTCCTGGCACTTAATTTACACCAAATATACCTGTAAAGAAGCAGAATTATAAAAAAAAGAATTACCTGTAAAAGTCTGATATTGAGACAGGCCATGACGGGCTGAGCATTTGCACTGGGAGCTATAGTAGTGCATCTTGCTGTCTGTGCTAAAGGCAAGCAGCAATGAAAAACAGTGCCCAGGCTGTCAACCAGTGAGTGTGGCAGGATGTGTATGTTTACAGTGCAGCCTGAGCCTCCTCTAATCCATCTCCTGCTTCTCTACATCCAGACGTCTATTGTGATCTTGCCTGTTAATATTCCTGTGAGCCAAAACCTGGCACATTCTGGCAAATATAGTTCCCCCCCATCAGTCTCCCACTGTAGTGAAGTTGAAGTGAAGGCAGACCTTGCCAGAGCTTGTGTTAATCTACATAAGCTCTGACTGAATGTTTAATCAGAGCCAAAGCCGAATTTGATGTATTTCTACTGTAACTATTCAGAAATAAATTTCCTCCTATCTAAAATGGATTGTTAATTACATTCTGCGGTCAAAATATCAGCACTGCAGCTTACAGTAACCCAGTGAAGCCTTCCTACTTTGCTCAAATGCTAGAAAGGACACTCCTGGGAACCTCACCATTGAACCAATGCTGTAATTGCCTCAGCTAGCATTGATTCCCCACAGCACGTTTCTCTGGAATACATCCCCTGTGTTAAGCGAGGTTTTACTGTATTTGTATATTTTCAGTTTGCTTAAGCCATATGTGGTTTATGAATTGTAGCATTTGCCTTCAGATTGTACAGAATGTTGAAATCATTTTTGAGGCCATGAATGTTTGATTTTGGGAGACCTTTGTGATAGATCTAGGAAAATTATAGTGCTTTTCCCATAACTGCAAGTCTGCTTTCAGAAATATAGGCTTAGCAACTTAATTAGTGAGGATGCAAGGGTTGTCCTCTTGTTTTAAGCATTGGTGGTGTGTAGTTCCTTTTCAGTTTGTAGTTTCTTTGCCTTGTCGTCCAAGAGCAGTGCCTTGGATGGACTGTCGGGCAAGATTTTGAATGATGTACATGTTGTTCACAAAATAAATTAACAATGGTCAATGTCAGGAATTTAGAATGGATTGTCAGGGCTCCAGTCTAAAAAAATTACTTGGGAGCCACTGGCTCCTAAAATGAAACATTTAGGAGCCAAATTACTTTTTTTCTTGCTAAATTACAGAATCAAAATATACCGATGCAAAAAAGAAACGCAACACCACCTCCACCTCCTCCTCCTCACTCTGGCCCTCCTGTCTGTGTGGAACAGGCTGAAGAGTGACTCATCTGTCCATCGCAGCCTCTGTCTGGCCCAAGCCAGTCGGGTGTGACGTCTAGGTGGTGTGAGCACAGGGCCTCTGATGGGTCGCCTTGCTCTAAGGCCAGCAGCATGGAGTCTCACTGTCTTGTCACTGATGCAGGCATTGTGTCTGCCAGCAGTTTCAGCAGCAGTGCGGGTGGCAGATCTGAAATGATCTCTTCAGACGGACTGGTGTGATGTCGGTCCTGCTCTGGTGTGGTCACTCGAGGGCGACCAGATCTTGGACAGTCATCTGTCCTGCCGGTCTGTTGAAACCTTCTCTGCAGTCGGGACACAGTGGAGCGGTTTTCTCCATAGTGTCTGGCAACGCTGGCACATGACATTCCTGCCTGCAGCATGCCAATGGCCCTCTCCTTTGCTCCTGGTGGCATTCCAGGCGTTCTAGAATGCACAGACAACTGACCAAGTGTGGCCTTTTTCTTGCAGTGCCATAAGCTTTGAATTAAGACCTTTTTAAAGGACCTGATCAGGCATTGTTCCACCTAGACCTTGTTGGGTAAAAGTGGATCTCACGAGCTTTTGTGTGATTGGGAAGTTGCAATGCCTCACTAATCAAGCTGTATTGCTGGTCAGAGGGGTTAAAACAAATTTACAACTTTTTGTGAAAGTACATAAGCTATAACTATAGTATTCTCATTCCAGAAAATGTTGCATTTCTTTTTTCCATCAGTATAGTTAATCTGCAGTGCACCCAATAATCTCAGTCATGCGATGTCGTTATACGTCTTTGATGCATCCATTCCGTTCTTCATTAGCAAGATTTGGGAGGCTTTTTTTTTTTGTGAACGGTAATTCCTCGCATGCGATCATGTAGGCTGCATTCAATTTCATTTTCAGTTCTTTAAAGTCTTTCTCGGCTGTTTTTTCACAGGCCTGTGACGCAGCCCGGGCTAAAGGTGTCTGCTTTGGGGCACACTTCGCAATTACAAAATTCACGAGCTTCAATCCGTATGCTTCTGACTCTGTGTTTTTTACCGTTTCTTTTTTTGAAATTATTCATCCCTCACGTTTTCACGTTTTCCCTGCAACTTCCTGATCAGCTTTAGAACAAAAGTGGCAATATCTAATTTGTTTAATTTCATCATATTTAAGACAAGCGCATTCCTGAAGCCACGAAGTTCTGAAATGCCGTTCACACCTGTTGATGGATGAATTAAACGCTTTATAACGGTACGCTTCTCCATTGCTAGCAGATCAGCTAGCATGTGGAAGGTTTGCAGTAGCCTGCGTTCTAGTGCGTAGCTTCTTAGCTTGCTGCCTTTCCACCAACAGTCACTGCTGTGTGCTGTGATGAAGGGATGTAAAGGCGTGCACTCTCAAGATGTAATTCAGTAAAGCCTCATCACCAGATGAAATTTGACCACCCATCGACACAAAATAAAGTTTTGGTGTCTGTCGCTAATGGCAACGAGATTTTAAATTGTCGCAGATTCTTTTTTTGTCGTATTTGCGACCATTTCAATCACGGTCTGGAGCCCTGATTGTTTTCGCTTCAGTTAGATTGACTTTCTGTTTGTGAATTTTGATTGTTACATGTTAGAATCACATGTGAAATTAAACATCCTTTTGGGAAAATTTACGATAAAACCATGTTCTCCCTCGTCATTTTTGAACTGGACTGTTGCTGTACTGGATCCGTGACAGTGGCTCAGTACATAAATCAGATACCTCAGGAACACTAACACACATACTGTCAGTAAATGCTAAAAAGTTCCTTTCGTTATTAGTTCTGCTTTTTATAGACATTCATAGTTCATGGCATCAGGGCCTGCATGAGCTGCCCTGGGGTGTCGTCTTGCATCTCCAGTAACATTGATCAGTCATCTTGGCAGCATCTTTGAGCCATTACTAACGAATTCTGCTCTTTAAAGTATTCTGCTCTTGGCTTTGGGCAAGAAAACAACATCCATCCCTAAATCATCACGGAATATCCACCAAAAGTATAAAGGCAAGCGCAACCTAATTGGTTTAACACAGAGCATTGATTCGTGGATTGAAGTGTGTAATACTGATAACATTGACAATTGGATTTGTTTTGGAAACAGGGGGCTAATTGATCCTTGGCAAGGTAGTGGGATGAATCTGTTCCTCTGCTGTCAGAAGCTCACCTGAGGGTTTGGCACTTTGCTGCCGTAGTGCAGTCAGACCTGAAGCATCCTGCTGGGGATGTCAGGGGAATTTTCTGGGCATCTCAACTTCAGTCTCACCGCAGACCTATGTGTGCAGTAGTTTATTCCATGAGAATGGAAAACTGATTTTAATATCAATGGTACAGGTTCATATGCTTTTAAAATCCAACTGAAATGTAAAGTATAGCAAAGTAAATGCTGTGACTTGTCTGCTTCAGGTTTTACACTAAGTTTTGACAAGGTCTCCCAGCCTGTATTACTTTTTAAAGTATAAGCTGACGAGAAGATTTGTTTAATTTGCTTTATTTGTATATACCCCTCTTTTGTTTTATTGTTAAGTCAAAGGTACAGCTATCACCTTGCAGTCTGTATTTTCTCAATGGTTATGGTTTTTTACATTTACTGCAGCACTTTCTAAGATTGAGCCATGGGTCTATTTTCCGATTTGTTTCCATGTCCTTGGGTGCGCATGATGAAATATGCTCTTGAACGAGGGACAGCTGAGGCACAATCTGCTGACAGAGTGTAGACCCAATCCCTCACCCACCCAAAAAACACTTCAGCTTTGGAAAAACTCTAATGGTGCACATCTGTCAAGTCTATATGCCGACCTGGATGTGGTGCCATCTGTTTTTTTACTTTAGAAAAAAGTCATCTTGATAGAATCAAGCAAAGTTTCAAATAAACATTTGAGTTTTATGTTATATTTACTGTAGGATATCCACTTTTTTCCTTGTTGCAAAAAGATTTGTCCTTTTTTAAAAAAGTTGAGCAGTTCGTTTTGAAATAAAACTGCTATTTCTGTTCGGTGTTAATTTAGCTTTTAGGCAATGTGGCACCTTTAGGTGAACTTGCCAAAAGTGAGCCTGTGACCTTGAAGTGCTGATCTGAGTATGATTGTACTGGCATGAGGCAGGTTGATAATGAGGCACTTAGACAAATATGTCTAGAAACTACTTTTCTTTGCTGCTGTTCTTCAGCATAGCCTTCGCTTAATTTGAAGAGAATATGGATGTCGGTGCTGCTTGAGTTCAAAACGTTCCTTGGCAGCATCCAGGTCCCTTCTTGGATTGGTGTGGTTCTTCAGGCTGTGACTATTGGTGTATTTGGTATAAAAGACAGAACAGCAACTCAAAAACTTTTCATGTGACTGTTGTATTTCCATTGAAACCTGTTTCTTCCAAGGTTGACTTTTGTTCTTGTTTACAGGAGCTGGAGAGTCTGGGAAAAGCACAATAGTAAAGCAGATGAAGTAAGTTAACTTACTGAGGTTTTATATTGTGTGAATATGCATATTGCACACCCTAGTTTGAATGCACTGTAAAACTGTCCAAACAGTCTTGTTAAAGTATCCTGCCTCTCCTAAAAAATTCTTAAAAGCTAAACATCCTGTGGTAGTGTCACTGTTTTAAAAAGACCTGGATGAGTTAAGTGTTCTTAAAGAACATGTCCGCACATCTCCCAGTTTCCTGAGGGAAGACAGTAATAAAGATATAATGTTGTGAAAATGTGGCTTGCTCATCATAACTCTGTTCCTCAGAATTATTCACGAGGATGGTTATTCGGAGGAGGAGTGCAAGCAATACAAAGTGGTTGTGTACAGCAACACCATCCAGTCTATCATTGCCATAATCAGAGCCATGGGGAGGCTAAAGATAGACTTCGGAGACCCTGCTAGAGCGGTAAGTGTGGTGATGAGGACTGTTCCATCTTAATGAGTTAATAAGACTCAGCATGATGTAACTCATTGCAGTTTGGTGGGTGATGTATTGTTACAAACTGGTGGATATGAAATCTCAAGCATTCCCGCCATGGTAGGCGGAAGAGCTAAAAACAGAGGGGAAAATTCCAGGGGATTTCTAGCTCAGAAGACATTGGTCATTGCAGTAAGAGAAGTAGATGACTTCCAGTAGAGTGAGGGGGGAAGTGCTTGAAGAAACACTTGCTCCTGGAGCTTGGGCTTCAAGGGGAGGGGAAGTCAATTTATGCACCTGGTGATTTTCAGGTTCAAAATAGAAATTAATACATTTAATGGTGCCTGATAGTAGTTTCTGAGCCATTTGATTCTAAAACATTAGATGCTCCTGGTCGTTGCCACATGCCTTGTTTTCTAGCTGGGACACATCTTAATTTAATATGTACTTTTCAAAGGCCTGGTGTGTTCTGCATATGTACTCTGGGAATCTGAACTGGTAATAGTCCAGCTCTTCCGCACTCTGCACAGCCTTTGCAGATGTGGGCCTTACAATCAGATGAGGAAGGAGTCCGTGGGGACCAGAAGACTTTGTTTACATTTTGCCGCTGGAAGGCTTACTTTAATGAAAGCTGGACACGTCTGCCAGTTTGTGCTATCCTTTCTATACACTATGCCTGCTGAGCAGAGGCACTTTCTTCAGATCAGTGAATAAAAAGAGAAACTCTGAAAAGCTGCCTTTTCAGCCCCTTTGATCTGGGTCAGGCTGCAGTGTGATATTTTATTCATCTCACATTGTGATATGCATGCTTATGAGCCTTTCTTTCCTTGTAGGGAACAGAGAAAGATCTCTTGGGCCATGTAGGTTGTGTAGTTTTCATCCAAGTGCTAGTACTGTGTTCTGGAAATATTGCGTCCAATTAGCTATGCAGTATTGTTGAATGGCTTTACATTCACTGTGTACAATCTAATCTTTTGTTTTTCTGATTCTGTACAAAACATTGTTTTCAGTGTACCGGGCTTGTTCTTGGAAAACATTTAAATGCGTGGAAGTATGAGTTAATTCTTATTTTGTGTTGACAGCAGAGCTTTTGAATTCTTAATTAGAATCACACCAGATGCAGCTATTTATCTGAAAGTGAGGTTTTCAGCACTTTCCATTGTAGAATTAGACTGTTTTCATGGTTTTGTATACTTTTCTGAACAAATGCTGATTTTTGTTTTCAAAGCGGCAGTTTTTAGTCTAAAAGAGCACAGACTTAGAACTAATGTGACCAGGTCTTCACTGTTTTCTAAAGAATAAATTTGAAAGCAAATCTTTTTTTTTTCTTAACTTCTGTTCTGAGGAGGCACAGGGACGTGCCATCAGGACCTTTTTCTACTCTTGACCTGCTGCTCAGTATGGGCTTTCATCACTCCCCTTTATTGAACTACTGTAGGCTTTGGCTTCTTGGGGTTTGATCTGGTGGAGTGTGCTGTGTTCATACATTCATGGTCATACATTCATCCGATGCTAAGATGTTTTGGTTTATTTAGGTGAGGGCAATTTGTTTATTTGCTTACATGTTTTTACTGTAAATGTGTGTTTTTGTGAATTCTCTGAGGGGATTACTGGTTTTCCTTTTCTAATGGACAGTTAACCCCTGTTATCTGTGGCTGAAGCACATAAGCCATATACAATTTCTTGCAGTAGGAATTAATCTTTTTCGCGTACCCCAACTTGCTCTCCATGAGACACACGGACAGGGAGAGAAGCTTTGTATGTAAACATTGTATGTTTATTGCAGGACGATGCCCGTCAGTTGTTTGTGCTGGCAGGAACAGCGGAGGAGGGGATAATGACTGCCGAGCTGGCTGGTGTGATCAGGAGACTATGGAAGGATGGTGGTGTCCAGACCTGTTTCAGCAGATCCAGAGAATATCAGCTCAATGACTCTGCCTCATAGTAAGAGATCCTCTCCTTTGTCCGTGGGCTTCATTAACATTGTTAATTTACACCGTTCTCTCCGAGCGGGATTGTCCCCATTGGCGAAGTATGTGACGGGGTAGGAGGGGAGTTTCTCGCATCATAGTTGCTGAACCACTGCTTCCTCAGTCTTGACTTGTTCAGGCAGTGATCGTCTCTAAGCAGCTTGCAGTTAATATTTGACCTTGGCAGCTGGCAAGTTGAGAGCAGTGTCCTGTATAGCCCGTTTTAAATGGTGCAGTTTTGAGGCTTGGAGCTTGCAGGGGATGCTCTCCATGTGGCATGTGAGGCAGTTAAGAATCTGGTTCTTCTTTGACGTGGGCAAAATGCTGAGTGTGAAATTGTAGAAGTTCCAGTGTTTTTTGTGATGTATATTTTTGGCATAATTTCTAAATTTAGGTTGCACAGAATGTTTTTAGCTGTACACTTTTCAAATTGATTACAAGCTCTCCCTCCTATACGGCAAAATGTTTGGAACTAATGCTTCCCTACTGCTTGCAAAAATGTATTCACAATTAACAGTGGGACATTTGCAAAAATCTAGAGTTTTTGAAACATGCTTTAGGACCTTGTGTCCAAGTGGAACTTTAAAGTTAAAGGATAAAAACACCTTCCTTTATAGAGCTTCTAGTTCATATTTATCCTTATTGTTTAAGACTGTGAACTGAACTGCCCTTTTTGTTCTTTTATTTCTCATACATTGCTGTCAAAGGGTATTTTTTTTTAAAGTCAGGAAAAATTGAATCAGGAGTGTGCAAGTTCAGTGTGGTAAGCCTTACCAGAAAATTGGAGATTTCAGAAAAATAGTACTTATCTGATGTATGTAAACTTGACCTCAGCAATTTTTCTCCTTAATGTATACCACTGGCTTTTCTTAGTAACAAAAATGAGATATGGCTATTTAGTTGCTAGGAAGTATTTTAAGTTTCAAGCCAGCCAGTTCTTAAAGTTGGCCAGGGTGTACCTTTTTAGCAATATGGCTAGAAAGCTTCTGTAAGCAGTTACAATCCTGGTCTTGAGTACTTGCTGGAAGACTTTTGTAAAATATATACCTAAAGGATTTTTGTTTCTTAAGTATAATTGATTAATTCCTATTGGGTCTTAGCAGTTTTAAGTGATTTTAGTTCCTCTTCTGTGCTGCTATGTATTGGAGTTTACATCTTTCTTGCTGACCCAGGGCTTGTAATAAACGCATGGGTAAAATTTTTAATACAACAGCTATTTCCCTTTCACTTACTAAAGGTTTCCCAGTTTTATCACCGAGATGCTTAATCTAGCTCAGGCTTTCCAATATCTCTTCACCTTTTCATGAAATTAATTATATTATGTTATTACATTAACTAGATTTTGTTCATTAATGATTTTGCAAAAGTGCTTTTGTTTCCATGTCCCTTGGTGTAATAACATTTGAGCTGGACCTTTCTTGGCTTTAATTTACACTGGGGCAGTTGTTATCTCATGAAAGAATCAAGGGCTCAAGTCTTACCCAGTCATGTTGGCCACACTTACAGTTACCTCAATGACCTGGACAGGATATCGCAGCAAAACTACATCCCAACACAGCAAGATGTGCTCCGTACCCGAGTGAAGACCACAGGCATAGTGGAGACTCACTTCACTTTCAAGGACCTCTATTTCAAGTGAGTAATTGAGTCATATTTTGTATGAGGGTAATAAAATATTCAAGATATAGGGGCTTTTTAGTCTTTTTAAATTGAAAGGACTGATCCTGATGCCCTGTAATAGGTATTTTCAGAATGAATTCTCTTTGAGGTGAGTAGAGGTTATTATGGATTAAGCCTTTGGAGACTGAGGAGAGAAAGGAATTTAATGCCTCGATTTAAATGTTCATGCAATTTTCTCCTGACTAAACCAGGGCTGAAAAATGCTGTGATGGCAACAACTGTCCCAGTCTTGGTGCGACACCAGCAGGCACATAGTAGAACAAACGCTAAGAAAACGTCTTACGTTAAGGAGTTAAAAACAAAACATGCTGTCCACAGAGCCTTGGCAGTGCCTTGATTAATGCCTTGTGTTCTTGTGCATCCAGCACAGCTAACCTCTCAAATACCCTGATCTTAAAGAGAACGCCACAGTGTCGTTTATAAAGGAATGTAAGCGATAGGAAGCGTCACACTACAGCACATATGAATATTGAAGAGCAAATAAGTTGTGAAAAACCTTTTGGTTTATCCCAATGGTTCCCCCAAGATGCCTTGATTACCAGCCCAGGGTTTCTGCTAGTGTTCTGTGCTCCATAGTGGATGGAATAGGTGTGAAGCATGCATCTCTCAAAAGGATAAACAAAATGGGGTTGTTTTGTGTTTAAAGTAAATATTTAGAATTGGTCTAGGACATGAGTTTAAACAGACGAAAGCAGTGCCTTGAGGATATTCCCTAGGGTTTAAGGCAGATGTATATGGTTGTTTGGCTAGAACTGAATGTCTTGGTAATAGTTTGAAGTTTAAAATCACTTTCCACTGCACGTTCTTATGCTGTTATGCTTTCCTCAGTGTTGATTAAGTGAAACACTTTTGGCATTATGATCTTAAAAAATGTGCATAGATGTCAGAGGTAATAACTGCTAAAGCTCTTGAGCTTGCCTGTGAATTGGAAAAATCTGACATTTTAAGGTATATAGTTTGGAAAAGACAAGTTGTATAAGAATGAGGTAAAATAGTTTTGTTCTTTTGTTGCATTTTTAATCACAAATTCATCTCTTACCCATTTAATGCCCTTTCAGGTTCTTATTAGATACACATGCAGCATTAAGTGGAATGGTGTCTTGTTCTTTTCTCAGGATGTTTGATGTGGGTGGTCAGCGATCGGAGCGAAAGAAGTGGATTCACTGTTTTGAAGGTGTTACAGCCATAATATTTTGTGTGGCGCTCAGCGACTATGACCTCGTTCTCGCAGAGGATGAAGAGATGGTGAGAAGGATTGCAAAAATGTGAAAAGGGGTTCTCATATGAAAGCTTACAATCAAGAGAAGATTCCTTCTGTCTCTTTTTGTGGTTAATAGCTTATTTACACCGAGAAGTCATCAAGCTGTTTCTTGAAGGAAACTGAAGTATCAACAATATGGCTGGGTAGCTTCTTCTATACTTCCAAATTTAACAGCTCTGCATTTGTTTTCAATTTTTTATCATTGCTTTCTGAAAGCTGTCTTGAAAGAAGTCCATAGGTTGATTTGTTTGTTGCTTGATGTTAAAAAATCTAGCAAATCAAAACCAGGTGAAATCTCGTGAATGTGAAGGCTCTTTAAATCGTTTACCAGTATGGAGATTTTAATTCAATGAAAATAGTTGGTATTGATCTGATTAAGTAGGCTTTATTTTTCCTTATTTGTAACCTGTGGACACGCCTATCTTGAATATTCCTTCTTTTTTGTAGTGCCTTATTGTGATTTGTGCTTCTTTCAGAACCGCATGCATGAGAGCATGAAGCTGTTTGACAGTATTTGCAACAATAAGTGGTTCACGGACACATCTATTATCCTGTTCCTCAACAAGAAAGACCTGTTTGAGGAGAAGATCAAGAGGAGCCCCCTCACAATCTGTTACCCTGAGTATTCAGGTGGGTGTGATTAAGTGCCGTGATCATTAACATTAATTCATTAATTATCTGAGGGTTGTTACATAGAAATGAGTGAATTCTAAACTGGTGGAATTGTGCAGTTTCACTACAGTGCTTCTCTGCCCGGGATATAAACCTCAGTCTTCTGCACGGCCATTCATTGGCAAGTCCATATTGACTGTTTCCGGGTTGGCTGGACTGCTGCTCCGTCGAGGCTGTATCTTGCAGGGATAAATCAGCATGCCTGTGAAGTGAGGGGACAACACAAGCCCTGAGCTGCACCGATCATAGTGTGGGGTCCCTGGGGGTTATTAGTTTAATTACATGAGCAGTTGTCACAGTGGTAAAATTTCACAGTGAAAACAAAAAATGATTATATAATGGGGAAGCTTAAGTGGAAAGGTTATAAAAGCTTTTGTCATTCAGGTGTGGAAATTAAATTCTAATGCTTGTTGTATTTGTGAGCCTGAAAGCATCATTTATGCTAAATTGAGATGTTCTGTTTTCCTGGGATTTTGAATTACATAAAGCTGTAGTCATTTTCTGTTCAAAAGGGTGAATGACTTATTCTTTGCTGCCTCATTACTATTTTTGAGAAGTGTGTAGAATGTTAAAGTTCAATTTGCTTTGGTTAATTACCAGTCGTCTTCCTGCCTGGTATTGCGTTCTGGTTTATCAGTTGTTTCAATGCTGTAATGCATCTAGCACTAATATTTACCAGGTGATCCTTTGTAATGTCCTGTTGTACACACATAATGCACTCTTTATGTATAAAATCTACAGTCTTGGTTCTCCACCATGTGCCACAGTTAGCAAATGTAGGCAGTCTCTTACTGAGTGCAGGAATGTTCATTTGATTTCGGAAGGCAGGACAGTGCGATTCTCAAGTGTTCATCTTTAAACTCGTTTAAATTGCATCCTGCTCTTGACTTATTTTATTGCTAATTTTATTTTAGTTCTATGAGCTGTTGATCATCCTAAAAAACATACTATGCGGTTAATGGCACAGTCTGTTTTGTATAATCTTCCATACCCTGAGGCGTTTGTTCAGAGCTGCATTTAAATGATGTGCTTTCTGGCTCTGAGATGAGAATCTTCAGTCTTTCCCTCCATGCTGATATAGGAAGCTTGTGGTTCTGTGCCAAGCCTCCCATCTTAGTTATATTTAGACTGCAGAAGTACTTTTGTTAATCCTTCCTGGACTTATTTCTGTTCTGTTTCCAGATGAGAAAAAGGCTTCCAGAAAAGATGAATACTCAAAGGAAGACAAATCCTACATAATATATTTAAATTTGAAGTACAAAAGTATAGAGAAAAAGCACCTAGTAGCTGTAATTTTAAAATATCCTTCCAGAACAGTGAAAACGTGAAGCTCAGTCGGCTGGGGAGCGAAGAATCTTGTTTGTGTGTGTACATGGTGTCAGTTGTCATTGTGTTTTCAGGTGTGGTGGTTGCCTCGCCTTACTTTCCACTTCTTTTCAGGTTCCAACACGTACGAAGAAGCTGCAGCGTATATTCAGTGCCAGTTTGAAGATCTCAACAGACGGAAGGACACCAAGGAGATTTACACACACTTCACCTGCGCCACGGATACGAAAAATGTGCAGTTTGTGTTTGACGCAGTGACGGATGTCATCATCAAAAACAACCTGAAAGAGTGTGGTCTCTACTGAGACTGCCGACAGATCTTGCAGGTTGGAATTTGTTGGCTGCTTAAGCATGCTGTTCATTAAACACACTTAAACGGAAATACCCTTATCTGAAACCAAAGACAAGAAATCTGATTATCTTATTATAAGAGTTCAGAAACTGCAGTCCGTCTTCCCAAAACTTGGAAAGCTCAGTCCTGAAAATGCATTTGCAGTGGAGCCTTAAGATGGAATTGTGCAGTTGTTCCCCAGTCATTTTGGGTTGAGGATCTGATTTAGTCAACATACAGAAATTAAAATGTTTAGCAATTCCCACACAGCTGTTCCGAACAGGACTATTTGAAATTCCCCTTTTTTGCCCTTTTCCTTGAAAGATGATAAAGATCTCTCACCTGAAACTTAAGAGTTCCATTTAGAGTGTAAAAGGAATTCTGTTTTCACTGCTAATACCAAGTATGCATTATTGACTATCTACCCTTTTCTCTGTAATTGAACTGTCTTTTGTTTTTATTTACAGTTTCTCCAGTGTGAAGCATGTAAATTGGAGAATGATCACTGTTTTTATCTGCAAAGGACAGCTGCAGGCTCACAGAAGGACCAAATGGAAACTGACATGCTGCATGCAGAATCCTTGTATTCTTAAATGCCAAATTCTGCATTTTGGATTTATTTTAACTCTTAACATATGAGGTTAAAGCAGATTGGAATAAACTGTAAATAAAATGTTATCTTCCTCTGAACTTTGGGACTTCACCATTCCACACAGTTTTTTTCTCCTTCAAAACACGAGGATAAAAAGTGACACATTTCCTAAGGAGTTTAGCTGTGTAATTAGCAAAGGGATGGAGAGTACTTAAAGAAGTCTATCCTTTGAGCAGAGTTGTAGAAATCTCAGTTCAAATGGCTTATTTTGCCCATTTAAACTTGTGGTGTTGAGCCAGAGAGAACCACTTTCCTATGCACAGTGACCAAAATGGATTTTCTCCTGTGATATTTGGTTCAAACCATATTGTAGACTGTTAGAAAATATTTTTAAACAGCATTCACTAGGTTTTATATATATTCAGACCACTGTTCCATTTAGCCTTCACTTGTTCATAATTTCAACTGTTCCTTCTAGATGCCATGTCCTCTAGCACTGTTAACACTACATGATGAGTTCATTTATCAAGTCCATTCCAGTGTCTGTGCACTTTCCTCACTGTTCATCTGCTCACTTAATAAATGTGATCATCCCTTTGGCATTTTGTGCCATTGATTCACCAAATGAATTAGATCATTTTGTGCCATACGTCCCTCTGAAAAGTATTAGAATCATTTCTATAGCAGCACAACGTATTTGTGGGTAATGAATAATCTTGTTTAAACCTCCCTGGAGCAACTTTGGATGTTCTGGATGCTCTTTGCATGTTTCTGTCCACTTGATGTGTGGGAAGTTTATAATGAGAATAAGCACACTCTTCACCTAGGCAGCGTTGTTAATTTTGGACTGTTGAGGAAAAACATTAATTGATTCTGATGTTGAGAACGAACACTGATGGTGAGAGTTTCCCTCTGCCAAAAGGGACCACTTGCTACTAACTGTTTTTATGTTTTTGAGTCTTGTCCACATTTTGTTAGAGTTGCATTTTCAGGCAAAGTGTTAAAGTGCTCATGAGATTTTAAAAATGGTTTGGACTGATTTCTACATTACAGCTTAATTGTATGCATCAAGACATTTTGCAACTGTCATGAGGCTTCTCTTCTGCCTTATTAAAATTGCATGGATGACTTAGTATTCACTGTTTGATATTTTAAACCTTTTTAACCATTTTCCAGGGCATTGAAATCAATACTTCCCAGTGTTTAATTTTCAACTTTGTATTTCCTAGCAATGTGAGGACTGCATATTTGTAAAACTTTCACTCCAGTATCATAGATGTTCTGCCTTCAATTTAATAGAACACCATGTTAAAATACATCTCCATAAACTGTAACAAATTTTAAGAATCGTATTTTAGAAATGGGGGAACAAACCTGAAATGCTGTATTATGGAGTGCTGTGCAGTAGTGTCGCAGTGGAGTGTTTTAACTTAAAATGAATTTCAGCTTGGAATATACTGAGTAATCATGATGTTTTTTTTTAACAATTTTGTATGAATTTTACATTGTAATGGTTTCTGGGCCAACAGCATGCCTTGATCTTGTAAAATTCCTCAATAACCAGTGCCATTGTTAACTGTAGCATGTTCCACCTTTTTGTTCCAAATGCATTCCTTTGATTGGTTTGACTCATTCAGTCAATTTGAATTTGTACAGGCTTACTGTTTACTTTGGCAATATTAAATGGTGGTGATAGGCCCTTGTGTTATGATGTTTTTTTTTAAATGTGATGTGGCATCATCCCACCTCTACAAAAGACTTTAACCTGCAGTTTTAATGTTGGATCGAAAAGTTTGGGTTGTTCTCAGAATAATTCAGTGGCTGGTGTAAGCAATCCAGGGTAATGTTCCTTTTTTTTCTGATGGGGGGGAAAATGTTAAGTCATTTAATAACTGTACTGATTGGTTTTACATCAGCATTTTCACTCCTGGTCCCACAGAGTCCCTTGGTACGCATTCCATTTATAGCCATATACAGCCTTACTTAATTGGTCATGTGTTCGTGGGTCTTGATTTCCATTCAGAGTTTCAGTCCTTTCTAAGTGGCATGTCTCATCTGAACATGGATTGAGGAGTACCGGCAAGGAGTTATACTTGATACCATCCACAGCATTTCACAGTCATGTTCTTGTTTGTCTCCATTTCTGGTAGTAGTAATTCTTGTGCTTATTACTGATGTACAGTTTTATTTTTACACAAGAAACATTTTGTTTCTTGCATCCTGAGTTTACATGTGGAATTAAGTGGCATTACAATTTTGTTGTTCGTTGTCATTATGTGGTTGAGAGACGTGAAGCGGTTGCTTTCATTGAAACAGGAAGTTGCTTTTCTTGGAAGATGAGTCATTTCTCCAGGCATGTGTAAGGCTTCCTTGATAGCTCCAGGAAGACTGCCCTCCCAGCGAAAGTCCTGAGCTCTCAACGGGTGACCCAAAGCCGGCACGTGCCAAATGATGAACATGGCATGTCCTCTGGGACAGTGTTGGAAATGTGAAGATGATGATCAAACCTGCTCTTTACTTAGGTCTTTTACAAGGTGAACAAAGTACTGGGCCGTGTATAGCCTTTGGTTTCCCTTTTGAGTTGGTACTTCCTGTCATTTTTTGAAACTATTTTGAATAAAATTGCTCGGTGCGATTAATTGGAGTCTTTGTGGTTGGGGGTGCTATGACTCCCTGAGATTCTGAAGAGGCAGTTTGCTGATACAGCTTGCCAGATTGTGATGTCATGGCTGTGCTAGAGGGGTATCTTTGCAGTAAATCAGTCTCCTACCCCATTTAAATAATAGTATCTTAGTGTGGGGAGTAAAACCGAAAATGTAGAGTGGAATGTGTTTTTCTATGAGTTTTTTTTTTCTTTTGGTTTGTGTTTTTTTGCTTCACTTTCTAGGGAAGGTTTTGCCAACTTTCCTTTCCTTGTATGCCTTGTAGGAGCTTGTCCGAAGCCGGAATTGGCACTAACACTGAAGGTGTGGTAATGAGGAAATGAGATTTGTGAGACGATTGGAAAGTGGTGAATTTTTATCCTGAAGTCTAGGTTTTGCAATTGATATTGCTGTTCTTGTGTTGAGGACATGTTTAGTCCTGCCCCTTTAGCTACTGCGAATCATGGAGAAACTGGTGTTTTAATTGCCTGGGAAATGTCAAGGGAACTTAAGTTGTATAATGCTATCATTTCATGAGCCAGGTTTAAGTGTGTAGGTGGTTTGATCTGACAACACTACACATTAATCTGGAACTGGTCACTGTGCTGAAAACGCCCAGAACAGTGCTGTGTTTTCCAGCAGGGTAGTTAAACAGCAGTTCAGGAGTAGGTGATGAGTGGATGTACAAATTACATGCTTACATGCTAATACATATTTTAATTACAGGATTTGAAGTGAGGGCTGAGATTAAATATTGCACTTAAGAACTGAACTGAGGAAACTGACAGGTTGGTAGTTCCAGGGGTGAGCATTGTTGTAATTAGTGCTTATGGACAAAATCTGACTATAAAATCCAGGAAAAAACGTTTCTTAAATGCTCTCTCCTGCAGGCCTGGTTTACATCTAATACAGTAAACTCTTAAGTCTAGGTGAGAAATAGTTTGAGTGTGATTGAACTTGATTTTAAATTATGCTCTGAACCAGATTTCACTTGTTTGGACTCTGCAGTAAATTGACGCTTGTCTCTTTTCTGCTGATGAATGGAATTTGAGGTCCGTTTCGAAAACCTTCCCATGCTTGTTACTTCCAGAGTGCAGAAAACCTGCCAGGTGTTCCCTGATGCACAACTACTGGTATCTGTTGTACAGTCCTGTGGGAACTGTAATAGCACGTGATAGCACAATAGCAATATGATTTAAACTTCCCGTCTGTGCTCCTATGGAGTTGTGCTTAAGTGGAACAGAATGTTCTTGTTAACCCTTTTCTCTGCTCTAGCCCGCTGCAGAGTTGCTCCTGTCCATGAAGTTCTGTGCATCCCCAGGTGGTAGCTGCGTCACTGTTCATGCCAGGAGAGAGGAGTCATGCCGGTCCTGAGCCTTCTTATGGGAATGCAGATATCTTTTTCTGTTGTTTGGGAAGGTGTCCAAAAAAAAAGACCTGTGTGCATTTTGAATACTTTATTGTGTGCCACTATGGTTTACAATCCAGATACGGATTTGTACTGGAGTTGGACAAAACCAAATGCTGATCTAATATTTCACATTTAGAATGTTTTTGTCAAGATTACAGCTCTACTTTTTAAAATATTTACAAAATACCTCTCTAGTGTTTGCTTCTGGGCAAATGCATGACTATATTTCATGCTGATGTAAGCTTATTTAAATATATTGTAAAGGTGAAAGCAATCTGTTTAGGGGTTCTTTTTGGGTATGGCAAATAAGCTGGATTATCTGTGATATGACTTTTTTGCATTTAGAAATAGAAGCCAAGACACTAAAGACTAATTAAAAATTCAGCAAAAGATTACTATAAAATGGTATTTCTTTCAACCTCATGTAATATAGATGTTCGTTTAGGTTTTTAATTGGGTAAAATCATCTTTGCACATTTCTTAAGACCACGTCAGATATCTTCCACTCTTTAATAAGAATTACCTTGCCCATTTTTTTCAGCTACTGTATGTTCCCTGGAGACTGGAAACATTGTATTTTTTGGGGTTATGTTATTATTAGAGGGAGTTTGCTGTGCTGCAGAGTGTGGCGTTTCCTTTAGGGCGTTCCCCATGGAGAAATTGTGGTGGCTGGAAGGGTCATCTGTAGTTGAATCTGTGCTACGGAAACGGCTGCTCTGCAGTCAGGCTGCCACAGGGCCTGTGCTGTCTGCGCTCCTCACACAGTGCGACGCCTCGTGAAGCAAGAGTTGATTGATCAGGTGCAGGAAAAGAGAAGAAAGGGGGCTTTCTGCAGAAGAAAAGGGAAAATCATGCAAACCTCTTAATAAAAAAAATCATTCCATTTGGAGAAAAACTGTTTTCTAATGGCTCGCCTAAAGCCAGGTTCTTTCAGCAAAAGTATTAAGTTTACATTTTTGATGCTCGCACATTTGTTTTTGCAATATTTGTCACAGTGGGCCGGAATCTTGCCCAAGACTCGTTCTAAATTCTGAGACTAAAAAACGAAGAAATATGTTTATAGAGAACAAACGATCCTACATGCTTTTGTAATGAGAATTTGACTTAAAAAATAGTACATAGTATTAGTGGTGAAAGGAGAAGAAAAACATTGATTTGGCTGTGGAGCCTTCTTCAGGTGTGACAACCGAAGAAGGCTCCACAGCCGAAATGTTTTCTTATCTTCTCTTTTCAGCAAGGAATAAATCTGTACTTGTTCCTTGCAGCCTACGCATGCTGACACAGCTCCCTACTTAAATTACATAGTATTAGTGTTCATTCTTGGCAGGTATGACTACGTTATCAGCACCTAGATGGACATGAATTTCAAGTTTATCAAAGACAGAGGAGTAATATTCTAATCATGTCTTTAACAGAATATTACTGTCCTAAACTGTGTTAGATGATATTGTATTTCTATATTAGCCTTAACTAATCACTACCTAAACTACAAAATGTCCAATGTGTTTTATATGACAGCGTTAGGCTTAATGGATGTGATGGTGAATATTATTGGGTTTTCAGCACCTAAATTGGGACAGTTGACATCGGTTCCAGACACTGCAGGTTTTTCATGGCTATGAGAAGATACCTGTTTTATCAGGCTGGTTAGAAGAGACCACAGTCTTTCAGGTTTTCTTTGATGATGATGTCTGTGACAGCGTCGAACACAAATTTGACGTTCTGCGTGTCCGTGGCGCACGTCATGTGTGAGTAGATTTCTTTGACATCTTTTCTCATGTTCAGATCCAGGAACTGGTTCTTGATGTAATTGCCAGCATCCTCGAATGTGTTGGGCCCTGTATGTGGGTTTTTAGGGGTGTTAGCAGACAAACAATGACCGTGTCTTCTTACCAAGTGCTTTCACTATCACCGGTTGGTATTGAAAAATTTTAAATTAAGCTCATTGCTTTGTTTTCAAGAGACTCTTTTCCAGTTTGTGTCCTGAACTTTTTCACTCTGTTAACTGATTGCTGTGCAATTATTTGCCAAATATCAAACTATGTCCTGGAGATGAAAGCAATTCGTATCAAATATTAACATCAAGCACATGTAATGGAAGGGGAGTTCTTAATCGTGCTAAACACCTTGATGGATTAACTGCATTAAGTATACTTATTGAAGAGGCTATAATTAAGAAAGCTAGAAGATGGGTTAAATCAGTTTTGACCCTGTTCTCCCTCTTAAGCTACAGACCCTGTACTAAGTATCAGGCTCTTCAATGGGTAGCAGCCTGAGAGACACCCTGAGAAAAAAGCTGCCATCTTGTATTGGGGTTGTGGTTGGTGACCAGCAGGTGCTGAGGGCTGCCGCTGGATGCAGGCCTGTGGCAGGTGGGGAACTGACCATCGTAATCCGGGAAGCAGATGCTCAGGTGCACCTTCTTGACTTTCTCCAGGAAGAGGTCTTTCTTGTTGAGGAAGAGCACGATGGAGGTGGCAGCGAAGAACTTGTGGTTGCAGATGCTGTTGAAGAGGTGGAGGCTCTCATGCATCCGGTTCTGGAGGGGGAACACGGAAGTGATGGTGAGGCAAGATTCCAGTAAGCTAGGGCGCTCACGACTCCTCGTTTAGACAGAAATAAGAGAGCAGGCTTATATGCAATCACTCCTATTCCCATTTCCAAGCTTGCAAAAAATTCCAGACTTGTTTCATACCGTTGGAAGAAATACCTTAAAGTGGGATGTTTTTTAGACCCAGGTAGTGAGATCAGAAATTGAAACAAAACTGATCATTTAGAGGACAGTTGACATCAGTGATCAAGCAGCACAGGCGCCAGGTCCTTGGCCAGATGTGGAATGGACAGTTTTAAAGAGCAGCAATGGACTCGCCAGCCCTGGAGCTCCGCAAACAATCACACACAGGAAGGAGCAACTGACTTCCTCGGGCCAGCTCTGGCTGTGAAGGGAGAGGCGAGACTTGTGAGACTGGCTGGGCAGATCCAAAAGCAGTGGAATGGTGGGTGTTAAATAATTGTGGGACCCAACAGCTAAGAACCGTTTCCAGAACTGGGTTGACTGGGCAGTGTTTTTGTATTTAAGGTGCATGGATCAGGTTAGGAGAATAGAGGGTTGGGATTGAAGAAATGTTCGCAAACTAGAGAGCTAAGATCGCCTGCAGAGACAGTCACACAGAGATTATTTAGGAAAACCCTGATGGAGAAAGAGCAAATGGCTGATCTTTGCAGAAGATAACCCCCGAGCCCACCCCCGATCCGCCGTGAAAAATTAAAACAAAAGCTTTCTTTCATATAGTGAGACCCATGCAAATCAGCTGCTAAACAATGCTGTCTTTTGAGCTCCTACCCCCATGTCATCCTGATAAGGAGACCGCAGCTGATACTGGAGAACAGCAAATTTGCCTGCCCACCATGCATGACCTGTGTATCCTAATTCTACCCTGTCCAGGCAAATACTCTGGCCTGCATTTCTTCTTGCATCTGCAGGTGTATTTTGCGTATCCCAGCTTGACAGGTTCATTTCTGCCCAAGCAACTTTGATTAAATGTTGACTGTGGCGCATTTAAAAACTTAATCTTGACTTTAGGGTTTAAAGAAAAGGCTCAATACTTAGAATTGACCTTTTAA